TAATATTTGCTTTCTCTCACCTTCATGGAGTCTTCCATACATTCTCTCCTTAATTCCACATGAATAAAAGAAGCTAAATAACTGTCATTCTCTCGAACATTTGACATTTTGCTTCCTAGCACTGTTATCAGTTTGGTTCAAATACACACATAAAAATTCTCTATAGCTTGGATGTTTTTTTACCTTGACACTCTTTTTATAGCTTTAATATATCAGATTTTCTTATCTTGTGTTAATAAAGTTTCTCCATTATTTGAAGAAAATGACTCTGTTTCTTTCAATTTAAACTAAAATAGAGGGAACAGAGAAGAAACAACAATGAAGCATAAAAATGGAAATAAAAAGTTAAAAACATAAGAGTAATGGGAAAACCTATGAAATATGCCAATAAACCATTTGAATTGAAGGTAACAGCAACATTTCATATAAAAACCAGAATTTGGAGCTGAGAATCCTCACATAATAGTAATGACAGTTACTAGCAAATGTGAAATATAGCCCCACAAGAATGTTTTGCAATTCAGCTTCCAATCATGCAGTGTAAGGATAATCTGCATCGACAGACAGAGAGCAGTAGTGAAAGAAGCTGGCATCAGGTTGAAAGGAATTGGCAACAATTTTTTTAGCAAAATCTGTGAACTTCCTAAAGAAGCAGAGCTGCACACAAGAAGATCTGGCAAAGCAAACAGCTACTGCACTTGATCCAACAGCAAACTTCTTTGGTGTTAGTACACTGCAGACTAACTGATGTTGTTAGGGACACTGGGCAGTAACTGATGTTGTGAGCACTGGGCGCTGCTCACTCTCACAGATAGTCATCGCCATGAGAATATTTTTCAGTATACAAAGAAAAAGCAACGAGTTTTCATTCAGAGAGAAATGAAATACTTTTCAATTACTGCTAATTGCATGTCAAAACTCATTGTACCTTTTCCTCTCTTTTCTCCCTCTTAGAATATGTGTATAGGTGAGAGTGGATGTGGTGAATAAATAATTAGAATAAGAGAATGTTTCCCAATTAACCTATTATGTAGTTTGATTTGTGATGGGGAGGGAGAGGAGAGGAGCCAGAAAGGAATACCTGAACACTTTCATTGGACTGATGAGAAAGTCATGGATTAGGGGACCGTTTGCATCCTGAAGGAACCAAAGAAGTCCGTAGTAGTCTCTAGGTTTGAGGACTGTCATACCTTTGTTCAGTTTCATAACTGTTTTTTTTGTATGAAATGCTGATTTCACATTTAACTTGGAAAAGAATATTGAACTGTGTGTAAATATGAAACCTTTGAGACTACACCATCTGGAGCTAATATTTGAAGTGATTTACACATGAACTAGAAAAAGAAAAACAAAATCCACATGAAATTATGCTTGAAATTTTTTAAAGTGCATTAACAGAATGTATTTACTGCCTTCAAATTGTAGCTAGAATGTGAATTAAAGTTTATTTCCTTATGTTTTTAGTTATTGCAGTGACTATTAAACACAAGTGGCTCAGGATCCAGGGTATGGAAATATCACTTGACTTTCTTTTTTTGGCATTAATTATCATTTGACTATCTGTTAGTCCACTATATGTGTTCCCTCTTCCTGGTTCATTCTACACAAATATATGTTAAGCCTACCATATGCCATACATTGTGCTAGGATTTGGGAAGTCAAAAGTATTTCTAGACAATGGTCTTTAACTTTGGGGAATAAAAAATTAGTTAACAAAATAGACATTAACCAATTATTTCTGTAATTAAACACATACACTAAAAAAGAGGGGCACATGGTGCTATAATAAATCTAAGAGGAAATTATACTATTGAGAAGTCCCCCAAGGATTTCAAAATTGGTGATTATTATGCTGAAATTACTGTCTAAATCTTATTATCCCTATATCTTTCTGCAGAGTGTATCAGCCAGGTCAAGCCTTAAACCAGATGTTGCCACTGTTGTTTTAAACAGTAAAACTGTGCAAATGAAAATATGTCAGCTGTATCAGGAGCTACAGGTCAGCTAGAAAAATGTGGGCCATGAAGTCATCATTTATTTTTATAAGGATTTCAATAAAGATCATAACTACTGATGTCATAGATGCTTATCAGAATTATGTGATTATTGAATGAATACCATCACTGTATTTATTTAGAAAATGCTGTAAAATATTCTGGAGTGTTCATTCTCTCTCTTCCTGTGGAAACCTCCTGGAGAAGCATGCCATGGGATGCTTCTACAGACATTCAACAGACATTCTACAACACATTCTACAGACATTCAACAACATCTATTACACGGGAGAAATGATCTGCTCTCAGGAAAAAAGAAAGAAACTCAAGTAGTTTGTTGTAAAATTTTATCCCAGTATCTCCCTAGGTTACTGAATCTTCCCACTCCTTGGGGAGCCCAAATTGACAGTTACATCAATCTCTGACTCATTAGACATCTCTTTTTACTGGCAATTTTGAACAGGGATATGTCCAGTCAGTTTTTCAGTATCTACATAATGGGATTTATAAAGTATTCGAAGTTATTACTTTGGAGGGAAACTGAAAAATGTGTTCTTCACCTGGTAGAGATCACATCTCTATGTATTATGGTGTTGTATTCCTAAGGATAAATAAGTGACTGGCTGTGTGACATAGAAATAGGTCTTCCAAGGAAGTCAACACCTTGCAAGGAATGCTTTGATTAAATCACATGGACCAGCATTTTGGTGGCAACGATATCATTTTGGTTAAGACTAATAAACCTTGTTTTTAGTGAAAAGCAGTTAAAATTACCCTTTGTAAATGGTACATGAGAAAGTATCCAAGGTTATCACATGTGATTCCAGATGGAGAACAAGCCTTTTAAATAACTCTCTCTCTTATGGTCAGTGATAAGGTGGACCCTATCCAACTGTGTGACTAGGTTGCCTGAGGTTCAAAGACGTAAAATAACTTGCTGAATATTCCATGGATAATAGCAACACAGGGACCAGCTCTCAAGATAAAAACTGACATTAGGGAGGAAGCAGAGAGGAGAGAAAAAGAAATTGAATTAGCTTTATCTGCCTCAAAATCTCATGCTCATGTTAACACATAACTCATGTTTAGCTTTTCCTCAATTAGTTCAACAAAAATAGGCCTTTTAAATAATGTGTCTGCAATTGTATCCTCTAGAGGTAATCAGCAGCTTATTAACCTTAACCATAATAACACATTATCACTATTTTGTTTTAGTCAGCTAATTTGCAAAACAATAGTGAAGATCCTACCCAACATGTAAGAATTTATTCCTCAGTTATTGGCACTGAATAAATACAGTGACCGTCACTGGAAATGTCAGGGACTTGGGGAGGAATCGCAGTATTGCCATGAAGGAAGGAGTCAGGGGGTTGAAGAGCTCATGAGGAAGTCAGAGTTAAACACAAAGCTGGGTCAACCACTAGACATAAAGTGAAGGCAATCAGAGACAGACTTCCAGTTTGGAGTGAAGGGCAGTTAGATCTCCTCCAGGGTATTATTCTTCTTTGCTAAACATAAATGGAATTGAGTTATATACCTAGAGGTTTGGACCATGAGCATTGTTGCCAGTAGGTCCCCTTCTCGTAGCTAACGGGAAACTGAGGCTCTGTTATATAGGATGTAAACCCTCCAATGATTACTTTGCTCTCGCAAATTCGCAGATGGAAATTTCTTTCAAGTCCAATCAAAAAAGTAAATCAATATTTGCTGAAACAGTGACAGATATCAGTAATGCGACAGGTAAGTGTAAGCTGTCTGAAAGCAGAAGCATTATTTTACTCGGCACTATACATCAAATGCCTATTTCAGTGCCTAACAAATAGATCTCCAGCAATTTGTTGGAGTAGCAAACAAAATAATTGGTGAATTAGTTTTGTATCAAAGGCATAAATGAATTATGTGTAATCAAAAGGAAAATGAGAAATAATTCAGTATATACTTTGGAAAATGTAAGGCAAAAAGTATTTGATCTACATTTTAAAGTATTGGCATAGAGAATTGTCCATACTAAAATGTACATATTGAGAAATAGATTATTATTGAATCCCTGGAAAGTCAACAGGTTATTTCTAAATCATCTTTAAATCTAGTTAAATAAATTAGCTAAAATAAAACACTGAATTTTCTTAGCATAATATTCTCCAGGTCCAGCCATTTAGAGAAAGACTACCATATGATTTCACTTACATGTGGAATCTAATGAAGAAAATAAACTAAAAAAAACAAAATAGAAATAGAGTCTTAAAGAGAACAGACTGACAGCAGTTATAGAAAAGGTTGAGGAACTGGGTGAAAAAAAGGTGAAGGGATTAAGCAAAAAAATACTTATTACAATACGGTGATTGTCAGAAGGAAATGGGGTGGGGAGAGGTAGAACAGGATAAAAAGGAATAAATGGTGATGGGAGGAGACTTGACTTTGGTGAATACCTAATACAATGTATAGATGATGTATTACAGAATTGTACACTTGATATTTATATAATTTTATTAACGAATGTCCCCCCAATAAATTCAATTTAAAATTAACATTGAAATTCCTATCTAAGAAAAAAATGCTAAGAAAGCAATATGTCCATCTTATATTCAACTAACAATAATTCCATAATTGGCAAAAGCATGTTTGCTCAGTTGGTATTGAAGAACAGATTATGAATTCTCAAGTTTATAAACTTTGGAAATATGTGGGAAATAACAATATTGAAGTAAAAGAAAATCTGAAACAAAAATGTAAAATATAATGGGACATTTCAATGCAAAAAAACCTAAAATACAAAATTGGGTAGACTCAGGACTGCATTTGAAGAGATATATTCCTCCAACACTGAGAAGACCACATTAAAACATTTCTTGTACAACAAAGCAACATTATTTTTCAGAGGCAATGTACCCAATGATTCATGATTTTTCTCCTAAAATTTAGGAAGCATCCATGGAAACTTTGAATTTAACATTAAATAAAAATATGAAATTGAAACATTGGGTATAAAAAAACTAAAATACTTACGTTTCAGCGTCTGGATTTTTCTTCTATGAAAGTCTGAATCTTTCAATTTTGGTATGTAAATTTTCTACAACACTGAAATGTAAAAAAAACAATACCAGTAAGAGGTCTGGGTACTTTCTGAGAAACAGTTTATACATTGACACTTGGTCATCACCAACGCCAAGGAACCTTTATAATATCAGCATCCTCTTTTTTCAAATAAAGTATTTGAGATAAACACAAGTCACCTAAAAAATCTTTATGAAATCTTCCTTCTGTCCTTCCTACTCTACTTACTGTCATAGTTTGAAGTCACTGTTATGTAGGCCTGGAGAGCTGCCTGGACTTACACCCACACTGTCAGCTTGCAGTTTTGACCCAATAAATTCCTTTCAACAGCTGACAGCAGAGAGATTTCTGAGCACACATCAAATCGTCTTAGTCTCAAACTAGAACCCACCGACACTTTTCCAAAGGCCTCAGAGTAAAGTCCACAGGAGTCAACATGGCAATATAGGTGACCATAGAATATGTAGCATCATCTTAAAAGTCTTCACTCGCCAAACCATTTTTAGGGTGTAGGGGGCAGCAAGAGTAGACTTACTCTTGTGAGTTGGTGAAACAATTTATTCTTATATCATTATTCTTTGATTATTGTATTATTTTCCACATGAACAACTGTAAACCTACTTTTGCCACACCTTGTATACATGTTTTTGAACTATTCTTTGTGCGTGATTTTTTGTACATTATAATTTTGAGATTCCTTCTACTGTTGCTTATTTCAATAGTTCATTCCTTTTTATTGCTGATTAGTACTCTATCGTCTATCCATTCACCTATTAATGAACATACAGGTTGTTTTCAGTCATGATTATCATAAATAAAACTGCTTTCAACATTTGTGTCCAAGTCTTTGCATGAATATGTTTACTCTTTTCTTGGGTAAAAACCAAGGAGTGCAATTACTGAGTCATATGAGAGGTATAGGTTTTACTATGTAAGAAATTGCTAACCCTTTCTTTCAAAATGCTTGGACCACGGCGCTCTCTTAGCAGAAATATAGGAGAGTTCCAGTTTCTCTACATTTTCACCAAAATTTCATGATGTTATTTGTTTGTTTCTTTGTTTGTTTCTTAGGTATTTCAGTGAATGAACATTTATCACATGGTGGTTTTAATTTGCACTTCCCTGGTATTTTTTATTGATATTGTTGAGCATTTTGATATGCTTATTGGTCATTTCTGTACCTTTTGTTCAAGTACCTACACATTTTTAATTGAGCTTATTATCACTTTGTTGTTGTTGTTGTTGTTGTTATTGTTAATATTATAGTAGTTTTTTATATATCCTATTATCTTTTGTTGGATACCTGAATCACAAATACTTTCTCTTAGTTCCTGGCTTACCTTTCAATTTTTTTAAATACGACTATTGAAAAGCAGATATTTTTTATTTGGTAAAGTACTAACTTATATGCAGAATTATCAGAACCTCTATAGAATATGTGAATTGTCCATAAAATAAAAACTTTCATTTTGTTTTTTTGAACCAAAATTTGACAGATATCCACAATTTTTCTGTTTCATGCATTATTAAAATTATACTTGCAATTTTTATTTAGACTATTATAATAACATAATAGTCTAATAGTCTTGTATCCCATGATAAAAAAAGTCACTGAATTGCAACAAAAACTAAAACCAACTTAAGGAATCTATAAAGATTTAGAATTTTCAAGTTTAGATGATCTATAAAAATCAAGAAACATTGGATAAAATCATATCTACTGGCTTTACTATATTTATATATTTTCTTTTTTTAAAGATTTTATTTATTTATCTTTAGAGAGGAAGGGAAGGAGAGGGAGAGAAATATCAATGTATGGTTGCCTCTCATGAGTCCCCTGCTGGGAACTGGCCTGCAACCCAGGCATGTGCCCTGACTGGGAATCGAAACGTGATCCTCTGGTTCGCAGGCCTGTGCTCAATCCACTGAGCTACACCAGCCAGGGCAGATTTATATATTTTCTTGATAAATATTATTAATATAGATTATTCTCAACCTAGTTCTTAAACTTTACTTGTAATATGAGTGACTAATAAAAATAATTTTACATAAAAATGATACACGACCTTGGTATTAATGTATGTGAGGCCATGGATCCTGTAGCCTTCCCTGGTCCTTTATTTTTGTCAACTACAAAATGAAGGTAGGGGTTCTCCTGGGCACAGGTACTGGGATAATTTTCCTAGTCACACTGTAGAAAAATTGTTATTTTTTTGTATTCTATTATATCTAAATTCAACATCAATTTCTGGGATGTGATTGGCATGTTTAGCTATACAGATATTAAATAATACTTAATGTTTTTCACATTGAATTACTAAAAATCCAAGTGTGTTTTCTAAAGCTACCATTCCTTTGAATAAGAAATGGAAAATGAATGTATTTCTTGAAAATGACCCCTGTACTATGATTACAAGCTCTAAGACAGATATGTTTGTAAAGTTAACATACAGGTTTTAATGAAAATAAAGTTAAAAATGTACCCATAAAGCGATGTTTAAGAAAAATAGACATGTGCATAGTTCATGATGATTATGTACATGCTCCCTTGCCACAGACAGCTGTCTAAGACACACATAAATGTACAATCTACCCAATAGTCATGCAAGACTATTGTGTCTGGGGAGAGACCATCATTATGCCAATTTTTTAGTGTTCAGTATTTTTTTAATAATTACAGGAAGTATACAACTTACTATTTTTCTTTTTTTCATACTTAAGTAGATACTCTCTGAGATTATGCTGAAGGACTCTTCTCTTCTTTGAAATTTGTTCACTTAGCTCAAGAAACGGAAGAACTCCAAGGTAGAGTGCGTGTACTTGAATCGAAAGGTAAGAATGAACTCAGGATAAATGTGTGTGGGACGCCTTATTAGGTCAAATCTATTCTATTTAATAGGAGAACAATAAAAATTGCATAAATTATAAATATAAATCATTATATATTTTTCTGCATATCCCTTATAAATTTCATATCCCAGCAGGCCTTAAATTATTTTTCCCAGGGTCTTGCCTTAATATTACCTCTTTCTTTCTTTGGCAATTATAACAAAACATGGAATATCACTTGTACACAGAAGAAGTAAAATTCGGGGGAAGGGGGAAGTAATCTTACTTTAATAAGAGACAGAATAAAGATGGAAGATATTTTAGTATTAGAACTAGAAGTTTCTGAAAATGTGAGCTCTTCCCTTGAAAATGACAATATAAAATAGGTTAAAAATATTATATATGGTAGAAGGACACATACTTTGAAAACTATTAAATGAACAATTTTTTCCCATGAGATCTTTCAAAATTATTGGCCAGCCACAATAGTAATAATTAATCTTATGGATATTTATGCAATCTGAAAATAAATTAGTTTTTAGCATGAATCTTGAAGTCCTTTTAAAATTTAATCACTCTTGGTTTCCAAGTTGATAAATCCTAAAGACATTTAGCATAGAGTAGTGACTATAGGCTTCCCATGAAGTAAGGGAACAGGGTGAGTACTGATACTCATCTCCAATTGGTACCAAAGAGGTGGTGGTAATTCATAAAACTCATCTTCCCTGGATTCTCAGTTCTGACTCCTTCTTGGCTCAGCTGCTAACTTTCAAGGGCAGAGACTTTGTATACATTTTCAAAGTGATGCTTGTGATTCAGTCTTTACCAGTTTCTTTGCTTTACTCAATGACATTTCTTAAAATATTGGCTCTAGCTCTCCAATTCACCAGTGTTCTTCCCACACTAAACTGCCTGTTCTTTAACTGCACTCATTCTGCCAATAAAGCATTGATCTGTAGAGCGGCAGTGAGAGCACAGCTAAATGCCCTGTGGTCAAATGTGGCCTTTTACCTCTGTCTTACTGCTCCTGTAACATTTTATTTTTACCACATATCATATTAATTCATTTTAAATATTATAGTCCATTGCTTATTAACATATTTGCTTTTTCTTCTGGTATATGGCATTCTCAGGACAAAGATTGGGCATGTCCTGCTAGTGTTGGTGTGTGCAGTGCCTATCATACTGCTTAGAACTCAGGAATAATTGAATAATAATGTGTCATGTGGAAAAGTTCTCTAAAGCAAAACAGAATGAATATATAGAGCTTCCAATCTTACTGTCCTATAAATTGAGTGAACAATTCTTTTGAGGTCATTTTGTAGCTGCAGTGGGTAATAGATGGGAGGATAGCGCTTATTACACGTCCCTAGAGCTCCTCTATTTTAAACTTTCATCCTCTTTTAAGAAATTTAATGGTCTTTTGAGTCATAATGATTAGTCTTTAAAAGCACAGAGAAAACACAGGGATTAGAAATAAGATGCCCTTTCTCTTCCAAGAACTATGCAAATACACTGAGTCTCTCCAACATTTCTTACTAAAAGAAGGTGGACCAGTATCACTGGTGGAGCTGGGAGGAAGAAGAGGTCTGAAAGGAATGAGATTAGGAAGGTCAGGAGTGCCCCAGAATGGTACTGAGTAAGCAGCTATGGCCTGTGTTGGGACAGCATGGACACAGGTGTCCCAATCTGCCTTGTTTCTTTTCTCCACAAGTTATAGCTTGTGTGTGGAACAGAGTGAAGGGAAGGTCTATTTCTACCATACAAATATGTTTCATGATGAAGAAAAGTCAGGGGGAAAAAAGAAATACAAAATTTTAAATAAAGTTGGTTAAAAAGAAAGTTTCCTTCCTTCCTTCCTTCCTTCCTTCCTTCCTTCCTTCCTTCCTTCCTTCCTTCCTTCCTTCCTTCCTTCCTTCCTTCCCTTCCTCCCTCCTTCCCCACTTTTATCCATTCCCATGTCAATATAGTTTTCTCTTATGTTAGAATGTTCTATACTAACACATTCAACAAATATTATTCATATTACATAATTATAAAGGAGGGTGGAATATGTTATCAACTGCTAAGTCTGTCCATTCACTTTAAACTTCAGACAATCAACAATTATGATTAAGTTAAGCCTTGTTTTATGGAAGAGAAAATGATGCTCACTGTGTTAACTGATTATTTGACATTTCCCTAAAAGACAAATGGTGGGAACATGGCTTGGAATCAAATTTCTGAAGACAGCATTTTAGCTGATAATTTGTTTGGAAAACCTACACTGGTGGTCAAGTCAAACCAGGAGCATAGACCTCAGTTTATTCCGTCACAGGCTCGTCCTCTCTCTATCCAGCAAACAATGGGCTGGGTTTAAATAATTGATCTATATTGATTTACAATAAAATAGC